GCTAGTGATCAGCCATCTTGGATCTCTCTTCCCTTTTTTCTGATACCAAATATTTTAAAAATTAATAATGAAATGTATATTTGCATTTGGGATTCACATATACATAAATGAAAATAAACTATAGGGTAGATCTCATATTAAGTATCCTTAACACAAAATATAAAATATAGATTACAGTAATCATAATTGAAAATACTCATTTTGATCATCTCACAAGAGTGAAGCATAATTACCAATAAATTGAAGCTGAACTATTGAAATGGGTGCAAACTTACAAACTAACAATAAATTGAACTTGATATGTGACACAGAAAAGTCAAACTTTATGCATACCTGCAAGGGAGAACTATGTTTGCAGGAACAGTATCCCTGAAGAAAGCCAGAGCTGATCTTATGCAAAATTTTGAGAAGCTCAGTGTCTGGAGTTGGTGGATTTTCAGAAGCAGGGGTGTTTATGGATTGACAGACTTTCAAGTGTGTTAGTGTGGTCACTGGAATAAGATGGTTGTCGACTGACTAACTTCCAGAAGCACGGTCTCTGGAGGGAGGGACTTGCTGTGGTCTAGGAGCAGCACTAAGTGGCTTTCAGAAGCTGGAGGCTGTCACTGAGTTGACTTCAGAAGCATGGCTACTGGCCGTGAGGCTGTCACTGATTTTTCAGACCATGTGTACTGATCCACAGATCTAATTATTGGGTATTATCTATTTACAACTTGGGAATTTGGCCAAAAGAACAGTCTTTTCCTTTCTTTAATATGGAAAACAAGTACTTTTATTCTCACTTCCTTGTCTTCTCTCAGTCAAACACATAGGAGACAGCATAAGAGATTATGTTCAGGTCTTTATTTGTGGAGGTACAATTTCCAGCTTGTATTGCCACTTAAGCGATTTAAGTGCCAATTACTGAAGCAGAACAGTAGCTCTAAGTGCTGATATTTCATTAATGGTGGGGAGAAACCCTGAATACATTTAAGGCATCCTAACAAAGTGAATACAGGATTCAGGATAAAAATCATTAAATACAGGACTTTTGGCAATCCTGAGTCAGCTTTCTTCTCAATCACCACTCTCACCTATTTGCCTGTGAAAGCCATGCCTTAATTATTCTAATACATAATTATCTGCCTCCTGTTCTCCATCAAGGCTGTCCCTGTTTGAGTTGGGACCCTCATTTACCTACTACTTGAATTTAAACAGCCCAGATTTCTCGGCATCAGTCATCATCAGGCCTCAGCTTTCTTCACTCCCTCTACACTTATCTTCTATGCAATTTCCCTTGGTTACCATTTTTGACTCCACCAATTTTACCATAAAATCCAAACTTCTTAGCTTGGCAGATAAGGCCTTTTGTGATTTGGCTTCTGTCTTCTACTCAAGCCTTAACATTTGTCCTTCTCTGGCTCACTAGTTATACAATTAAGCTTCCCAAATGTGCCCTATTGTCCACCTGTGCTTTGGCACGCACAGTTTTGTCTTAATTGGGATGCTTCTCTCTCCCTCGGAGTTCCTATTATTCTCCCCAAATATGCCTCAGGCATCATTGCTCCTGGAAAGCTTTCTTTGATGCCTCCAGGCTCTCTTGATGAGTCTTTTTTCATCATGTGCATATCTTTACAATATTCTCATATTGCAACATATTGTCATAATTTATTTGCCTATTAAAACAACAAAAAACACAATATAATCTGCTTTCTCATTTGCTAGTCCAACTCTATCCCCTTACCCCCAATTCATGGCTTCTTGAAGAAAAGCATGTGTCTTAAAACTTGTATAGTACCTCCTCCAAAGTTAAGAAATATTTACTGCTATGAGGAAAAACGTGGAACTGCAACATACCCCCCCTCAACCCCCCACCCCACCAAACTGGGAAGGAGCCAAGAGACCAAAGAATGACTCAGACAAACCCAGCTTGATGAGTAGATGAGTTTATTAGGACTTCCATATAGTGCACTTCTGGATGGCAGCAGGACAGGTCTGGAAATCTGCACCACCTCGTACCTCTAACCTGCGTTTAAGCTGATTTTCTGGCTCTTTGACTAATGTGTGTGATTGGACTGTTTCCTTGGTGCGTTCTCAGGTAGTCTGGGATGCTTGGGTTCTCAGGGACACTTGCTCCTTGGCTGGGAACCATGGCCTTTGCTTATTGCCCAGCCTTCAGGGTTCAAGCAGTAGATATAAACCCTTAAGTAACCTGGTAGGGGACCTCTCACACTACAATATTTATGAAACAATTCACATCTTATTTGGGTTGCTATAACAAAATACAGCATCATACTAGGTAACTAACAAAATATGTCTTACAGTTCTGGAGGCTGGGAAATCCATTTAAGGTGCTAGCAGGTTTGGCTACTGGTTATGGCCACCTTGATTCAAAGAAGCTTATCTTACTGCTGTGCCCTCACATGGCTGAAAGGCAGAACAAGCTCCCTTGGGGCTCCCTGATAAGGGCACCAATCCTATTAATGAGGGCTCTGCCGTTACAACATATAATTACCTCCCCAAACATCCCACTTCAAATTACCATCACCTTGGAGGTTACCATTTGGACATATGAATTTGGGGGAGACATAAATATTCAGACCCTAAAAATGTCCTTTTGAAGAGTTTGCCACAAGTGTTAGATTTCTTCAAGTTCTGGGAGAGAGATCCAAGATGGCTGATCACTAGCAGCTCGGGATTGTAGCTCCCAGTGAAAGTGCAGAGAACGAGAGGACGCCACACTTTCAGACGAATTTTTGTTGCTCACGCACCAGGGGATTCCCAGCAGAGGAGCCCCACGGGTCGCCAACGCGACTCTTGTGGCCAGAGAGGCACTTTTGCCACTGCCTACGTGCGGCAATTCTTGGTGCAGAGTCAGAAAAGCACCATCAATCTTAACGCCACTGTTTTGGCTGGGGCAGTGGCTTGCTCAGATTTTAGCTCTGGGAATCAACAAGTTGGACGTCCATTCAGAAACCCAATTATAAAGATGGTAATTATAAAGACCACAGATGGATAAATTTATAAAGAAGGGAAGAAACCAGCCTAAAAAGGCTGAGAATACCCAAAATCAGAACGCCTCTCCCTCTACAGGGGATCACAGTTTCTCATCGGCAATGGAACAAGACCTGATTGAGAACGAGTGTGTTCCATTAACAGAAGCAGCCTTCAAAAGGTGGATAAGAAACTTTTGTGAATTAAAAGAACTTGTTCTAACCCAATGCAAAGAAACTAAGAACTTTGAAAAAAGGTTTGACGAAATGTTAACAAGAATACACAATTTAGAGGGAAATATAAGTGAATTAATGGAGCTGAAAAACACAACACGAGAACTTCGTGAAGTATGCACAAGTTTTAACAGCCAAATTGATCAAGCAGAAGAAAAGATATCAGAGGTTGAAGACCAACTTAATGAAATAAAACGAGAAGACAAGATTAGAGAAAAAAGGATAGAAAGGAACGAGCAAAGTCTCCAAGAAATATGGGACTATGTGAAAAGACCTAATCTACACTTGATAGGTGTACCTGAATGTGACGAAGAGAATCAATCCAAGCTGGAAAATACGCTTCAGGATATTATTCAGGAAAACTTTCCCAACCTAGCAAGGCAGAACAATATTCAACTCCAGGTAATACAGAGAACACCACAAAGATATTCCTCAAGAAGACCAACCTCATAATGGCCAGATTCACCAGGGTTGAAATGAAGGAGAAAATACTGATGGCAGCCAGAGAGAAAGGTCCAGTTACCCACAAAGGGAAGCCTATCAGACTCACAGCAGATCTCTCAGCAGAAACCCTACAAGCCAGAAGAGAGTGGGGGCCGATATTCAACATCCTGAAAGAAAAGAACTTTCAACCCAGAATTTTACATCCAGCCAAACTAAGCTTCATAAGCGAAGGAAAAATAAAATCTTTTGTGAACAAGCAAGCACTCAGAGATTTCACCACCACCAGGCTTGCTTTACAAGAGCTTCTGAAAGAACCACTACACATAGAAAGGAACAACCAGTATCAGCCTTTCCAAAAAATACCAAAAAGTAAAGAGCATCAACAGTCAAGAATTTACATCAACTAATGGGCAAAACAACCAGCTAACATTAAATGGCAGTATTAACTCACATATATTATTATTAATTCTAAATTTAAATCGACTAAATCCCCCAATCAAAAGACACAGACAGGCAAAAAAAAGCCAAAACCCATCGGTATGCTGCATCCAGACCCATCTCACATGCAAGGATACACAAAGACTCAAAACAAAGGGATGGAGAAAGATTTACCAACCAAATGGAGAGTAAAAATAAATAAATAAAAAGCAGGAGTTGCAATTTTTGCCTCTGATAAAATAGACTTTAAAGCAACAAAGATCAAAAGAAGCAAAGAAGGATATTACATAATGATAAAAGGATCAACGCAACAAGAAGATCTAAAGATCCTAAATATATACACACCCAATGCAGGAATACCCAGATATATAAGACTTATAAAGAGACTTAGACTCCCACACAATGATAGTGGGAGACTTCAACATCAATATTAGACAGATCGATGAGACAGAAAATTAACGACGATATCCAGGATTTGAACTCAGATCCGCAACAAGTAAACTTAACACCCCCGTTCTCTCTCCCTCTTCCTCTTTCTTCCTCTCCTTCATTCTTTTTCTTAAAAAAAAAAAATCAATTTTTTCAATATTAATCTCATATTAATAAAAAAAATTTCTTCAAGTTCTTCTGATGTGTTGCTATAAATTTTAAAAATACATATTTAGTAGCTTTAAACCTGAAATAATTGCTTATTTTTCTTTTTAATAAAGTTCAGGGCATATAACTGGTACACATTCCTAATAAATGACTTCAGAGAAATAAACCAAAGCCAAGTTAAGACATAGTTGAGTAGAAAATTCCCAATTCACAACTACTAGAAGAATAAGAGACCAGATTTTTCTTTTTTAATGAAATTCATGCACAAGTTTGACATCAGGGTAGGAAAAGGACAAACCCCAGAGACTGAGAGAGGTAGTTCATAATTCATTTTTATCTTTTATTTTGGTCCTTTAAAAAGGTACAGTTTGATCAATTCATTTGTATGCTATTAAAATTTTATAAAAATATTACGTTCGGTGGTCTTCTAATGAGAACTCTAATGCACGCCTCCCACCCACTTAAATGTTTCTGATGATCATGTGATGACATGTAGCATATACGTCTTTGGGAAGACGGAAAAAGCAAACCCATTTCAAAAATGGCCAAAGTCAATGTCTCCAATTGTAAACTCTTTATCTCAGGTTATTTTTTAAAATGTCTGACAGGCACAAACACTTTCCTCATAGCTATTACATAGTCACGGTTTATCCATGGAATTAAATACCTAATGAGGACTATAGTTTTTTTCATATCCATTACATTTATTACATCACTCTCAAGGATGTATTCTCTGATGAGCTTTGGTTTAAGGCTTTCACATACAAATTTACTTTCTAGGGGTCCTCTTCGATATGAATTTTGTAATGATTAGTAAGGGATGACCTATGGTTGAAAAGTTTCCCACATGTATTACATTCATAGGGTTTCTCTCCAGTATGAATTCTTTGATGTGCAATACGTGATGAGCTTTGTCTAAAAGTTTTCCCACATGTATTACATTTAAAGGGTTTTTCTCCTGTATGAATCCTTCGATGTTGAATAAGAGCTGAACTTTGGCCAAAAGATATCCCACATTCCTCACATCGATATGGTTTCTCTCCAGTATGAATTCTCTGGTGATTACTAAGGGATGAGTTACACCTGAATGTTTTCCCACACTCATTACATTTATAGGGTCTTTCTCCAGTATGCATTCGCTGATGTTGAATGAGCGCTGAACTCTGTCTGAAGGCTTTTCCACATACTTTACATTTACATGGTTTCTCTCCAGTATGAATTCGCTCATGAATAATAAGCGTTGAGTGGGAACTTAAGGCTTTACCACATTCGTTACAATTATAAAACTTCTCTCCAGTATGAATTATTCGATGCCTATTAAGTCGTGAAATAGAAGTGAAGCCTTTCCCACATTCGTTGCATCTATAGGGCTTTTCTCCAGTGTGAATTCTTTCATGTTGAATAAGTGATGCACTCTGACTGAAGGCTCTCCCACATTCACTACATTTAAAAGGTTTCTCTCCAGTGTGAATTCTCTGATGATAACGAAGGGATGAGCTAGACTTAAAGGTGTTGCCACATTCATTACATAAGTAGGACTTCTTTCTAGAATGAATTCTTTGACATCCAGAAAGGGATGTGTTGCAACCAGACGCCTTCCTACCTGGATTATATTTATAAGGGTTTTCTTCAGCATGAATTTTTTGATGTATAAAAAGGCCTGACCTTCGGCTGAAGGATTTACCACATTCTTTACATCTATAGGATTTCTCTACAGTATGTGTTCTTAGATGTTTATAAAGGGATGTACTGAGAGTAAAGGCTTTCCCACATTCTTTACATATGTAGGGTTTCTCTCCAGTATGCGTTATTTGATGTTGAATAAGAGCTGAACTTTGGCTAAAGGCTTTTGAACATTCTTTACATTTAAATAATTTCTCTCCACTATGGTTTTTCTCATGTTTACGAAGGGATGAAGTGTTAATGAAGGTTTTTTCACACATACTACATTTATAGCGTTTATCTGCTGTAATTTTTGGTTGATTAAGTAAATCTGAATTCTGTCTGAAGCTGTTTCCTTGTATTTCACATTTTGGTGGTGTTTCTTCTCTGGGAAGCATCTGCTGCCTAATAAGCACTGACTTTGGGCTGAAGTTTTGGCTTAATTCAGTATTTTTATGGCTTCTTTCTCTAGTGGGGATTTTTTTGTGGATGGTTGAAACTATCTGAAGACTTTCCTTTTTGTCCTGCTTTTTCTCTAATCTGCTTTCATATATGAAAGGCTTTTCCAATTTTAAATCCCAAGGTCCATTCCTGTTGGATCTTTTCAGTATCAGTCCCTGAAATGAAGAGTCTTGTGTTTGCGTTGACTTTGTGGTTTTATGACTGCTCTTCAATCCTGGAGGGAAACAAAGAAGATATTTCATGTGATATCATAGCATTTGACTACTGAGATTAAATGTGTACTTAAATTGACAGCAATTTAAGTACTAGGGTGAGGAAAGAATAAAGCAAACCCATCTAAAGAGGGTGAGAAAATAAGAGTGACCAGAAGAATTGGCTTATGAAGAACAGAGAAAAGGGTTATAAGGGCAGCATGAGTTGAGAAAGGAAGTCTGGTGTCAAGATCCAAAACCCACGATGGAATTCTAATTTTTTTTTTTCTTTTCTTTTTTTTTTTTTGAGACAGTCTCACTTTGTCGTCCAGGCTGGAGTGCAGTAACGCAATCTCGGCTCACTGCAACCTCTGTCTCCCAGGTTCAAGCGATTCTCGTGCCTCAGCCTCCTGAGTAGCTGGGATTACAGGCAGCCACCATCATGCCTGGCTAATTTTTGTATTTTTAGTAGAGATGGGGTTTCATCATGTTGGACAGGCTGGTCTTGAACTCTGGGCCTCAAGCAATTCGCCTACCTTGGCCTCTCAAAGTGCTGGGATTATAGGCATGAGCCACCACACCCAGGCTTTCTGTAATTATTCTTAATCTAGAAAGTCCCTCCACCCCATGTCAAATTCCTTTATATCTTTCAGATTCAGTTCAAAAATGGACTCTCTCAATCCTTTGACTCTGAGCAGCCACAGTCCATTCTCCTTACTATAGAACTTACCAGAATATTAAACATACGCATTAATTTTGTAGTATATACACATGTAGTTATATATCTTTCTATGTCTGTATATATCTCACTTTCCTTTTCTAAGATAACTGTTCTTCACAAGCAGATCAGCAGCATGCCCTATTTTCCTACAGATCCTCCTGACAGCACTCCAATTATATATAAAAGTTGTATGTTTTGTTAATGTGTCATAATTACTTATACATTCCTAAACTTAAACAATGTCAAATATTCTTATGTATTTCATATATATATATATATATAAATATGCATATATACACATACACATTTCAGAGATTAGAGAGGTTTCAGGGCCAGTTCAAACAGGAGGAACCTGTTATTGAATTAATCAACAAGAAGTACCACAACGTAGGCCTAGAGCCAAGAGTTGCAAGCCAGGAAGGCAGACTATTAATGCATCAAGCAAGAGGCTACATGGGAGGGCTGAAAAGAGTCAAAGATCAACAAATAAGACAGGTATGAATACATAAGATAAAGCAAGGTTAACATGGAAAAGTAAAGAAAAGAACTGAAGAAATATTAAAATTGGATAAGAACACAATTCAGTAAATACTAAATTCTGTCAGGGGAATGGTTATGCACATAGTCCTAGCATTTTCTCCTGGGGTAGAGGTAACTGTTTAAAGGGACCATTTGTATCTCACTGTATTTGTGATTCCTATTTGACAGTCACTTTCACACCTATGTACAACCTGCTTCTGCTTAATAAACATAATACATTCTGCTTTTCCCTTTTCTTATTAGTGTTCACTTACTAGTTCCCTTCATGGATAGCTGTTCTTCCATTCTTTCTTTAAATAATGGTATTCCCTAGGTTTTGGGGTTTTTTTTTTTCTACTCCACACATCCTCCTTGACTAATTTTACATGCCCCGTATCTTTATACTATTTACTGTAAGGGAAAGCAGAGTTTCTTAACTTTATGCTTAAAACCCTCCTAGTTCCTTTTCCATTTCAGTCTTGCTAAATTAAGTGGTCAAATTGTAATACATTATTTGGGCCAAATATATGGAGGGGGCAGTGGCAAAATGAAGTGCTTTTCCCTGTGTATATCAGCCATTGTTTCAAGGCTTAATACATGTGCTGGGAAGAAGGAAGCAAGATTCTGCAACTTGGATTATAGCTTGTAAGGCAACGATACAACCCTGTCTTAGGCCTAGTGTAAAGAAAGGCCCCTCACCTTTGCTAGAGCCCTGAGCATGGGGATCAGGTACTTAAGTGGTATTTTGTTTGCCACAAATTACTATTTCTACCGTAATCTCCTAACTAGTCTTGTCCTCTACCAATTCAGTCTCCACACTGCAGCAGGAATAATTTTTTTTTTTTTTTTTTTTTTTTTTTTTATATATAGAGTCTTGCTCTTTTGCCCAGGCTGGAGTGCAGTGGCATGATCCTCACTCACTGCAACCTCCACCTCCTGGGTTAAAGCAATTCTCCTGTTTTAGCTTCCTAAGTAGCTGGGATTATATGCACGCGCCACCACGCCAGGTTAATTTTTGTATTTTTAGTACAGACAAAGTTTCACCATGTTGGTCAGGCTGGTCTCGAACTCCTGACCTCGTAATACACTTGCCTTGGCCTTCTAAAGTGCTGAGATTACAGGGGTAAGACACCGTGCCCGGACAATCTTTCTAAGATCAGTATTTTACTATATTGCAAACTTCCTTAAAGTCCTCCAATAGATTTTCAGTGATTCACATCTGAAGACCAGAGGCCTTAACATGGTGAATACGGTACTATCTGATCTGACCTTTGTCCACCTGTCCTCGCCCCCTCTCCCCTGGCTTCTTGCCAGGTATGCTGAACTACATGCAGCTACAGGAGCACTCCACGATTTTTCCTTGTTTATCTTTACATATGCTGGAGACATCCCTTCCATTCACAAATATTAAGTGCTTACCATGGGCCAGGTAATTTCTGGGGAATGCAGATAATGTATTGAATAAGACAGGGTTCCAGCCTTCAAGGAGCTTATACCTTGAAGTGTGCACATGGGTGTGCACATGTGTGTATGTGCATGCGTGCTAGGGAAGGAAGGGGGATGAAGGGACAAATAACAAGCACATACATAAAAGTCATATGGGGCCGGGCGCTGTGGCTCACGCCTGTAATCCTAGCACTTTGGGAGGCCGAGGTGGGTGGATCACCTGAGGTCAGGAGTTCAAGACCAGCCTGGCCATCATGGTGAAACCCCATCATTAAAAAGAAAAAAAAAAAGTCATATGGATATCTGAAGAGAGTCCTCAAGAACTCCCCAGGCAAAGGAACCAGCAAACACAAAAGCATGGTTGACTAAGGAATAGCAGAGAGACTGGATGGGGTAAAGTAGAGAAGGGAAAACGGTGAAACAATAAAATATGAGTGAAGCAGGGCCGGGCACCATGGCTCATGTCTGTAATCCCAGCACTTTGGGAGGCCAAGGCAGGTAGATCACCTGAGGTCAGGGGTTCAACACCAGTCTGGCCAACATGGTGAAATCCCGTCTCTACTAAATATACAAAAATCAGCTGGGTGTGGTGGTGGGCTCCTGTAATCCCAGCTACTCATGAGGCTGAGGTAAAGAATTGCTTGAACCCAGGAGGCGGAGGTCGCAGTGAGCCAAGATCGCAACACTGCACTCCAGCCTGGGCGACAGAGGGAGACTGTGTCTCGGGGAAAAAAAAAAAAAAAAGGGTGGGGGACAAATGCTCTAGGGCCCAAGTCATGGTAAGGACTTTGGAATTTGCTGTGTAGACCGACTATCTTGGGGCAGCAGTGGAAGCAGGGAAGGGAGAGGCTACTGAAGAAGCTACGGCAGCTCTTCAGGTGAGAAAGCGCTGGAGGTACAGGTGACTACACCAGGCTGTATTGTGAAGGAAGAGCTCACGGGACCAAGAATAATAAGACTCAGGACTCCCAGGACACTGAGAGGGAAACAGGAAAGTTAGGGATCATGCCTAGGTTTCCAGTCAGAAGTCTGAGTGCTGGCAGCAGTCACCAAGAAGAGGAAGACCAGGAAAGTGGCAAGTCTGAGGGAGAATTCTGTTTCAGGTATGTTTGTGATGGCTGAGATGCCCTAATAGAGTTGCAGGAAGATATTGAAATACTAGGTTGTATTTATCATTCTGGAGATCTGGGGAAGGTCAGAGCTACAGACAGGCATTTGGGAATCAGCAGCATGTGGGTTTTATTTAAAGCTGAAGAACTGAAAGGAATCACTTGGACACTGAAATATGTGGAGGTTAAAAATAATAATATCAGGAGAGTACAGTGTTCTTGAAGCCAAAGGAAGCAAGTACTTCAGGGAGGAGTGAATCATAATTGTGAAAAATAATTTGAGGACTAAAAACTTATTCCTGATTATGGCGAGATGGAGGTTGTTTGGGGTTTACAGTGCTTGCAGTGGCATCATAAGGAAGAGGGCCCAACTGCAGGGCACGGAGGAAACAATGGGAAGCGAGAAAATAGAAACATTAAGAGTAGAAACCCTTAAAACAGTTTTTAAAGGAGAGTAAGAAAATGAGACATGGGGAGCTTTTATTTAACAGATATAATTACCTATCAAAAGTTCATTATCAAAACTCATTCCAACTCTGAAGTGCCAGTATTTTAGTCCTGAAATCATGTTTTTCACTGAAGCAGACGTGAGTTTTGGATTGCGGACATGCTAACTCTTTCTTATGATCTGTTTAAAATTTTTTAGAGGCCTACAAATAGGTTTCCTGAGGTACAGTTCAACCTTTGCTTCCTCCCAGAGTCAACCCCACCCCAGCTACCTAATGAACAAGGTTATACCTAGGTCAGAAGTTGAGAAACCAGAATTATCTTGCTGATAGCCACTGCCTTGACCAGTTCCTGCTATTAGATCTAGACTCTCTTACCTGGACTCTTACTATACCTGGAGAGTGTTTCTTCAGCCTCCTCTCTCCAGATGATTTTATTTGCTCCCACACCTGCTATATGTATTACTATCCTGAAAAATACTTTACAGATTTCTTTCCAACTGCCTGCTAGAATTTCCACTTAAGTATCTTTCTTTTTAAATTCAGCCTGTCCAAATCTGAACCCAGAGCATTCCTTTTCAAATCTTTTTTTAATGTTTTCCAGTTCAAAATGACATCGTCATCTTTTCAGTTACTTTGCCATAAATTCTTAGTTTTATCTCAGAATTTTCTCTTCCCTAGGCAGTCATCAAAATCTTTGTTTTTTTTTTTTTTT